CATTGTAGTTTTATGATTTTATAAATAAATATATAATTCCAAGGTATTTTTTTACAACTAGGTAGATTCATGAGCAGATATTTTTCAATCTATTTGTTTAATTGGGTACACAATTAACATAAGATTGCTTATTATTAGCTAATTTAGCCTAATGCTCACTAAAGGAAAAAGAGAACTTTTCTTTGGTCACACCTGGTCTCTCTGTTAGAACCTAAACTTTTCTTTAATACACACGTTTTATTGTTGCAGTCAGTTAAGTTAAGCCTATGTCTAACCAGAGAAGCCCTGACCTCCAGAGAGAGGATCAGTAAGGACAGGCATGAAGCTAGGTCCTGGGAGGAACCCTGAGACACACAACTTCCTGCCTCTTGCCTTACACATTTGATGAACTGAAAGAAAAAGAAAAAAAAAGTTGGGCACAAATCCAGTCATTCTGTGGCCAAATCACTTAATTTCTTAATTTCCCTTGCGGTGAGCTTCACTCAAAAGATCCCTGCAACTCTGTTCTTGTCAACGACTTTCTTTCAAAATAGAGCTCCGTGCCTAATCCTGTTGGTGTCGTGGTTGTTAACATAGGGAGCCTTTCCACCTTCAAAGAGCACAGTGCCAAGGTGACAAGGAGGAGGGCTTGGCCCTTTCTCATCAGGACAAAAAAAAAAAATAGTTCCCTGGCTGTGGGTAGAGCTCAGTGTAGGACTTGAAAGGGAAGATGAAGACCACAAGGAAGACGGCAGTGGTGGGCGGGGCTGCAAACATCCACCAAGCGAACGGCAAAGTACAGATTGTCCAAGGCAAGTCTACTCTTTCTTTCTTTTCATTATCCTTCCTGCTTCTCCAAATCCTGCCCTCCCTCCCCAATCCCTCCTCCGCCTCTTTCTCCTCCTCTACCAGTACCTTTTGCTCTCTTCTCCTTGTCTCCTTCTGTGCTTCCTCCTCCTTCCTGTTTTTTTTCTTTTCTTTTTCCTTTCTTCCAGCATCAACCAGAGTAGAACTGAACTGATTTAAGTGCACAGGAATCAAACAGATATGAATTTTCCTTCCTTTTTGGTTTTGTTTCTGTTTCCTTGTTTCTTTTTAGCTTTTATTTTGTTTCATTCGTTGAAATAGGGTCCCAAACAGCCCAGGGGGGGCCTCAAACTCCATAGCCAGAATGAACATTGAACTTCTGATCTTCCTGCCTCCACTTTTCTAAGTGCTGGTGTACACACCAAGTCTATCATTTGCAATGCTTGGATTGAGTCTCTGGCTTCATGCATGTTAAGCAAACATTCTGTACTCTGAACTACATCCAAGTCCCATCCACTTTTCTAAAATCCTTTCCTTTGGGTCCAAATGTGTGATGACACTCACCACAGCTTCTCAGCCCGTCTCGAAACCAAGGCCTCCCTTCCTCCCACCAGTCCACATCTGTGCCTCTACACTTCAACTCAAGATGCGCTGCCTTGGGGTTAGAGCTAATTGGACCTGGACTATGTCCAAAAGCAATCTTGGAGCTTTTGTCTTTATCACCTCCCTCGCCCCCACAGAACGCCTTTCTCAGGAGGATTTCACTCTGCAGAGGGATGGTCTACCGCTCGCCACGCAACCTTCGGGAGCCACACCCAATGGGACCTCTGGCCTCCTCTCCACCTGGTTTTGTAGCCATGGGCCACACACCTCTCTTCTCCCCATCCCCATTACTCATTTATCACACACTTTTCCTGTTCCTTTTTTATGTGTTTATGCATATACATGTGTATGTATGTTCACACGTGGGTGCATAAGAGGTACATGCGCATCTCTATTATATGCATGTGTGAGAAGGCCCAAGGTTGCTGTCTCAGGAAACTTCTTTTCCTCTTTTCCATTTTATTCTTTTGACCACTTTTCCACTTTACTCTTTTGGGGTAGAGCTTTTTTTTCATCTATTTATTTTACACCCCAGCTGCAGCCTTCTCCCACAACCTCCCCTCCCAGTCCCTTCTCCCCATTTCCCTCTTCCCTCAATGCCCTCCATTTTCTTCTCCAACCATTTAAGAGCAAGTCGACCATGGATGTCAATAAAACATGGCATATCAAGTTGTAGTAAGACTAAGCACTCCCACATGTGTTAAGGCTGATCAAGGAAGGAGACCCAGCGTGAGAAATAGGGTCCCAAAAGCCTGTAAAAAGAAAAGGTCAGAGACAGCCCTTGTCCCTGCTGTTAGGAGTCCCATAAGAGGAGCAATAGACACAACCATAACATATATGCAAAGTGCCTAGCTCAGTCCCATGCAGGCTTCCTGGTTGTCCATCTCTGCATATCCCTATTAGCCCAGGTTAGTTGTTTGTGTGAGCCTTCCCACCGTGATGTCCTTGACCCCTCTGGCTCCTGAGGTAGGGCTTCTTAGTCAAACCCAGAGCTCACCAACATACAATAATCTCTTTGTGTGTGTGTGTGTGTGTGTGTGTGTGTGTGTGTGTGTGTGTGTGTGATATTTAACTGTGTAAACTAGAGAGAGAAATCCAATGGTAGTGCTTGCTGAGTAAGCATGAGAACTTGAATTTGGGTCCCCAGAACCCATATAAAATGCTGGGTGCTCACCAGTGATCCCAACACTGAGAAAACAGGGATACAAGGACCCCTGGCCATCCAACCTAGCATACTCAATGAGTTGCAGATCCACTGAGAGACCCTGCCTCAAATGCATGATAGAAAATGACCGCAGAAGAAATATGACATCAATTTGCCTTCTCATGCACATGCTAACACAAGCCCGCACACACACACACACACACACACACTCGCACAAGCTCACACACAAAGCACTTGTATGTGGGGTGGCAGGGAAGGGGGAAAGGAAGAGAAAAATTAAACAGAAAGATGGTTATTTTTCTTTTTACAACCTAGAGAATTAAGGCTCAGAAAAGCCACATAACACATAAGAAATGGAGATATTTTGTCAGAGACACAGTTAAAAGATAAAAACTAAAGCATCATTTTGAAAGCCCAATTTGCAGGAGTTTGGATTACATCCTTTTAACCTTTATCCACTTTTCAATTTTCAAACATTTACATTAAAATTTGTCACATCCCAAACTTTTAGTTGCAGCACATAGAGGCCACCAGCAACCTTACTGGGCTTTCTTTCACGTGAAGTCATTTGTAACCGCGCTGAATGTTCCAACCACTGTGAGGCACAAGATTGAGTTTCTTATACACAGGTCTGTGGGGACCCTATAAGTCTCTTTAGTTCTTACATTTCAAACGGGTGTTTATCCCTGTATGTTTTTTAAAATGAGAGAAATAGGTACCTTCACCCATACACCTGCCGTGGGCTCAGATAGGAACCAGGTGAGCCTCACCCATCCGCCTGGCACACGACATTGTCAAGGTGACAATATGAGTTTCGTAATGACCAAGGGCACGCTGCATCATGATCTTATCTTCTCGGAGTTTGAGCAATTCATGTGATTTCTGGCACCTCTTATCTTACATTCCGTTGACTGATGGGCATGTGAGTAGATGCTCAATATCAGTGATTCCCTTTTAGAATCAAAAGAACTTGACCTGCAGCTGTCCTTGCCACCACAGAATTTTCCATCTGGTTGTTCTGGGAACCTATTTCCCACTCAGCCACCAAAACAATCCTTTCATGGCGATGCCAGCGAACCCATCCTTTTAACACCCCTGAGGCTTTTCTCTTACTTGAAATAAAATCAGGGGCTGAGAAGACAGCTCAGTCTGCAAAGAGTTTGCTGGGCCTGAGTCCCTAGCACCCACACAGAAAGCCAGATGCCCTGGTGTGTGCCTGTAAGCCCAACACTGGGGGAGGGGTGGGGATGGGAGGATCTGTGGGACTTGCTGACCCGCTAGACTAGTTAATTGGTGTGCTCTGGTTCTGCGATAGATCTTGTCTCGAACAAGGTGAACATTGACAGAGGAAGATGTCCAGTATCAACTTCTGGCTTTCATATAAATATGCATATGCATGCATACACACACACAAAACACACAAAAATTGATGATAGATAGATAGATAGATAGATAGATAGATAGACGAACAGACAGACAATAGATAGATAGATAGAAGAGAGAGAGAGAGATAGACGAACAGACAGACAATAGATAGATAGAAGAGAGAGAGAGAGAGAGAGAGAGAGAGAGAGAGAGAGAGAGAATCAGTTCCTCCCCAGGACCATGAGCCCTGCCCACCCCAGCCACTTCCCGCTCTGCCCCCTTGCTGCTCCTCACTGCTGTCACACTGGCCCCTTCATGCTCACAGCCGCAGCTTTGTCCCCTCTCTTGACATGCCAGTGCCTCTTCCTGGAATGTTCTTCCCCTCTGGATGTTTCTTCCCTCTTTTTAAGTCTCAACACAGATGTTCCCTACTGGCGAAACCAACCTGGACCACAGTCACTAACACCACCCAGACCTGGACCCACCTCCGCTTTCTATTCTCTTGGTGCTGATTCTGGCCCATGGGTGGCATCTACAAAAGGCTTTTTCCTTGACAGAAATCACAGGCTCCACACAGGGCGTAGGGGTGAATGGGCTTTTCATGTCATGGGAAAACACTGGTTACTGTTGAGCAAAACAGACAGCTAGGATTTCCATGCCAGAATAGAGTTTATTGGAAGGACAAACAAAGGATTTGCATTGCAACTACAAAGACGAAAAGTGGGACGGAAAAAACCACATTAAGTCCACTTATGCTCTGTTTCACACGGGTGGCAACCAACTCACCCACGCTCAGTGGGACTATTTTCAAGTCACATTCCGATAAGTCTCATTAAAGTATAGTATTGGGTATGTAGACACCTTGTGATGGGAGACAGTCTTTGATCCTATTGTCGGTTCCTATAAAGACAGACTTTGCATCTCCTGTGCTCGAGGTTCAAGCCAGGAGGTGCTCTGCAGTCTGCAGCTGACCCCAGGAACCAGTCTGTCTTTGTCCGGTGTGGTTGCTTTTTGAGGTCTTAGGATGAGCTGGAGTTAAGTTGTAACTGGTACCTTTGTCCCCCTTCTGGCAGTGGTAACTCTAGCGCACGAAACTGTTGCAAGGCCCACACCGAGGTCTTGTGACACAGGGGTTAGAGACGCAGGGCCCAATGGGCTTGTCACATGCATTAGTTGTGGCGCAGGGATTGCAAGGGAGCCTGGAGAAAGAAAATCAATGGAGCAACTTAGAGCAGGGTGCATTAAACACACAGGAAGACACTGAAAAGAGAACAGTATCCAGACATGCCTTTGAATGTCTGCAAGCAGATGTTTGAAGGGATACATTCATTTTAACCAAGAAAACAACTCACCCCTAGAAGAGCCTTTCAGCCCATACTCACTTGCAGTCCTCGCTCTCCAGCAGGCCTCTGTACGTGTTGATCTCACACTCCAGCCTGGCCCGGATGTCCAGCAGCACCTGGTACTCCTGGTTCTGACGCTCCAGGTCAGCCCGGATCTCACCAAGCTGGGACTCCACGTTGGTGATCAGGCACTGCACCTGGGACAGCTGGGAGCTGTAGCGAGCCTCACTCTCTGTCAGTGTGTTTTCCAGAGAGTTTCTCTGTGGGAGGAGAAGACAGAGGCTGTCAAACAGCTGTCCCCTCTAAAGGTCCCTGCATGGCCTTGCAAAGGAGTCACAGCCTTCAAGAGCTAGGAAGAGGGAGTGGCCCCAGGGGCATCCCAGTGACTCTGCCTCCCGACTCCACACTGCTCAGCAGCAGGTCTGGACACTACACACCAGGTTGTGCTGGGCCTGCAGCTCGATCTCCAGGGCGTTGACTGTGCGTCTCAGCTCGATGATCTCTGCCTGGCAGGACTGCAGCTGCTCTGAGCTGGACACCACCTGCTTGTTCAGCTCCTCTGTCTGCAAGAGGCAAAGGCAGAGACAGGCTCAGACCCTGCCTTAGAGTCCTGGGGGACTCAGTTCCTGGGTGACCATGAGCTCAGATGCCCACCTGTGTGGTGAACCATTCCTCCACTTCTCTGCGGTTGGTTTCCACCAGGGCCTCGTACTGACACCTGGTCTCATTGAGCACGCGGTTCAGGTCCACAGTGGGAGCAGCGTCCACCTCTACATTGAGGCGGTCTCCAAGCTGGCAGCGCAGGGTGTTGACTTCCTGGTGGGGGAAAGAGGAAAATTCATGATATCAGAAAGGGTCTTGATGCTCTCCTTGAGAGAACACAGTTGGACTGCTGGTGCATGTGATCATTCTATAATATTCATTCCCTTCCTTCCCCGCATCATTTCCCCCATGGTCAGTGACACAGTCTCTATTCCCTTCCATCCCAGCATCCTTTTCCCTATGGCCAGTTATTGGCTGATTCTTTTTCTGCCCTTCATACTCAACATAATACTTTTTATCTAAAGGGATGTGGTCAGTTCACATCAGAGCTAAGACGTAGCTGAAAACCATTTAATTTCTACTCCGTAACAGCCCAGGTCCCAAGTCTTGCTAGAATATCTCACTGTATCCTTAAGTTTTTAATGTAGTAGACAAAGTCTAACTACAAAGAAAATAAAGAATATTTGCTTCAAAACCTGTCAACCTTGGACAAAAGAGCCTTAACTCGCAATGTGTTGGTCCTGCCAGTGTGAATTTTCCTGAAGGAAGTTGAACATCTATACATTTTTCTACTGATCTCTAATGGAGCCAACAGAACTTGGTCCCGACCTTGCAGAGCCTTGAAACAGACTTAACTTGTATCTCATCTTTATCACTCCCATATAACTTCTAGAAGCCTCTAGGGCAGTTGTTCTTAACCTTCTTAATGCTGCGACCCTTTCATACAGTTCCTCATGCTGTGGTGACCCCCAACCATAAAATTATTTTTGCTGCTACTTCATAACTGTAATTTTGTTACTGTTAGGAATTGGAATATAAATATCTGATATACAAATGGTCTTAGGTGACCCCTGTGAAACATTCTTCGATCCTCCCCAAGGGGGTCACGACCCACAGGCTGGGAACCACTGTTCTAGAATATTTATAAAGTCTTTCTTTTTTTAAAAAAAGAAAAAAGAAAAAGAATGACTTCAGAGGCTCTCAGTGCATAGTGGAAATTTGGTGCATAACAAGCTCTTCATGAGTGTTAACTGTCACCACATGCAGGTTCCGGGATTTATATTTTGCTCATATCTGCTCCCTGTGTGCCAGCGACTGGTGTGTACTGGGGAGCACTTTACTCCATGTTTCTGCCAAGCAACACAAAGAGCAGGAAGGGTTTTGGATGGGGATGAAGAGCTGTGGTTTGAGTCTAGATCAGCCCTCTTGTTGTGTGGCCCTAACTTACAAAACAGAGAATCTTAGTGGCATCCACATAGGCTCTCACCTGGGAGTGACAGAGGCTCCAATTGCTGCCTTGGCTCTGACCTTCCCTTGGTCCTGACTGAGCTAGCCAACTTCCTTTATTCTTGTTCCTGCCTCTAGCAGAAAATTCTAATCTCCTATCACGATTTTTTTTTTTAAGATTACTCATTCTCTACAAATCCTTTTTTGTTTAGAGAACATCTTTCTGGGCTAATTGAGGTTCAACCCACAGCCCCTCCCACAGCCTGTGGCAGTCAGAAACATGTCCTAGCCAGTTTGACCGTGTACTTCACTTTGGGAAACTTCACCTGCTCATGGTTCTGCTTGAGACACAGCAGCTCCTCCTTCAGGGACTCCACCTGTGCCTCCAGATCAGACTTGCACAGGGTCAGCTCGTCCAGGATTCTGCGCAGGCCATTGATGTCCGACTCCACCAGCTGCCGCAGGGACAGCTCTGTCTCATACCTGCAATCACGGGAGAATTAGGGACAGACTGGATAGGAATATGCCTGGCCTCGACTCTGCTTTGGTTTGGTTTGGTTTGGTTTGGTTTGGTTTGGTTTGGTTTGGTTTGGTTTGGTTTGTTGGATAACTAGGAATTAAGGATACTAGTTTTTACAACCATCTCCCTCCACTTAGGTTATCAAGACCCAGCAGTAGTTCCTAAAGGCAAAAGCACCGCAATTGCTTTCACAAAGCCAGTGAATCTAAGGAGACAAGAGCTTGTAAATTCCGAGGCTTCCAGAAGGAAGGCACCTCCCACATTCTCATTGAGTTCTGTGCCTAGTAGGAGACCGTGCTACCCCAGACACACAGTTCAATGGAGTTGAGATTTGGGGTGGAAACACCAATCTACAATGGGGAAGAGGAGGGAGTTCAGGTCTAAGGGAAAGGCCTAGGGGAAATCTTGGTCAGTATTTGTCTGTGTGGACAGCAAACTAAGGGGAAGGAGAGAAAGGAGATGGAAGACACAAGCAAAAAAGCCTGCCACCCTCCACCATCTGCCCACTCACTTGGTCCTGAAGTCATCAGAGGCCAGCTTGGCATTGTCGATTTGCACTATCAGCCTGGCGTTCTCAGATTTGCCACACAAGATCTAGAAGTTATAAAGTGTAATAATGTGAGCTTGGTTCTTTTCATCACCAGAAATCCTGTTGATTTGTTTGTATGAAAACATCAGAATTTTTTTAAAAAAATCATAGTATATCCTGTATCTATTGAAAGTTATCCATGTACAACAGATGTTCAAAAATTATCTGAGGAAGTAAATCTGAAGACAGACATGCAAATACACCAAGAAACATTAGCATATGGTCTTCTTTCCCTTTCTTAATAAACAATAATGAGAAGCTGATTTTAAAAATCTATTCACGTTTGTGAAAAATGGCTGCTATTTGGTTGGTATAGCTCTAAGAGCTAAAAAAAAATCACACTGTTAAGAAACTTTCCATCAAATGGACAAGATAAACACAAAGCAGCAGGTGTAGGGGCCTAGGCAAGGGAGGTTGTTACAGTCTCATGGCCATCCTGGATGACTTGGTACCATTTCTATCTTCTGTCCTATCTTTCTAGGTTTAGCCAAATACACTAGTTCTCCACTGGATACTGTGCACCAAGGGAACTTAGGGGTGTCCAGGTCAAAACAATGGGGTCAAGGTTATAAGGTGAGGAGGGCAACCAGAGGTCAGAGCATCCACACACTCAGTTAAGGGAGAAAAACATGGTCCTTTCTACTCGGTGGTTTCCTTCTTGGGCTCAGTTCTTTTCTCTTACCTCAAGGGAATATTTTCAAAGCTCAGAAGCACCCAGAGGCCACTCTTAGTAATAGTGGGGAGTTATCTAAACTTCTATAGCTCCACATCATCTAATTTATGCCAAGATTCAAAACTAACAGTTTCCAGTATGAAAATAGATGAGTCCTCCAGAAAAATGTTTAAGAAACTGGAAATATGGGTATCACATTTTTCCACCATAACAAGAGCTCAAGTCATTTCTGTGTATCAAATGTTCCGACAACTTCCTGTTAGGGATACTGTGATGCCCATCCCCTCACCTTCTGCTGCAGCTCCTCGATGGTCCTGAAGTAGGCCTGGTAGGCAGGGCACACCAGAGGGTCCTGCTGCTGGTTCCTCTCCTGGATCTGACGTTCCAGTTCTGCGTTCTCTCTCTCCAGCTGCCGCACCTTCTCCAGGTAGCTGGCTAGGCGGTCATTCAGGAACTGCATGGTCTCCTTCTCGTTGCCATTGAAGGAGCCCTCACAGAACCAATTGCAGTTGCCGATATTGGCAGGGATGTTGCAGGCCCCGGGCAGGGTGCAGCCATGGCAGCTGTTGGGTATGCAGGGCCGGGAAGAGCAGCTGGTGCGGCAGCTCAGGGCAGGCAGACAGCAGTTGTATGGCATGGTGTTGGAGGGAGTGAGGTGCCTGGCTGAAGACACAGAGTAGATTCTTCAAGCCTCAGAGCTGTGGACCCACTTCCTCTGGTGAGCATTTATACTCATCCCAAAGAGGGTGTGGACACATAGGGTAGTCCTTTTTTTTTCCTTTGGCTTTGCTCATTTAGTGATGGTCAAAGGCTTCCCCATGCATTTGTTATGCTTCTCAGAAGATTCCCTCACCTCATAAAAGACTTTACTCGGGCTTCTCCCTCAGTCAGGACTCCTCTACCATGCTGTGCATCATGAGGTAAGAGCTTCGTGGTATGACTTCAAAGGACAAGACTCATGAAAGGCCCGGCCTTCATTAATAAGGTGTGGCAGGTCGAGGGACAGTGTTGCCATTCCATGAGGGCCCTGACACTTCAGTGAGCCTCTGGCTCTGCTTGCTGAAACAGAGAAACAGGATTCTTCCTAGGTCCAATTTCCAAACGTCAGGTTCATGGTTCTCAAAGAGAGGACCAGATGCTAAAACAGTCTAGTTTCTTGTGACATGGATTCTAGACACTTCCACCAACCAAATTACTGATAGACCTTGGATCACGGCTTGACTCAGTCAGGGCACTAGAATGGAAGGTGGACTAGTGATACTGGCAGAGGGTACTCACACTTGTTGGAAGCCTGCGCAGTTCCCAGATAATGCTGGCATTTCTCACAAATCTTAAACCTTGGCACCCTCCGCACGGGTCTCCAAGGCAAATGATAGCATCCTCATTCTACAATGGTAAACCAAAGTATAGAAGGTAGGAGATCGGGTTATGCAGCTGTGTATCTAACATCAGTTTCTATTCTTTTCATCATTTCTCACTGCTGTTATATAGACAGCCCAGTTCCCTTTCAAACCTCTCCTCTGAGCTCTCCTCTTGCTTCACCCTGAGCATGACGTTGTCCTGACCTGTGTGTTTATCTCTCTCTATCTCTCTGTTTGCTACATGATGGACATATTGAGTCAGTAGGGGTCAAATAGATGAAGACACTAATAGGAAGCAATAAGCCAAGGCAGGAAGCAACGAGTAACATATGCAAGGTTTGAAAATTGGGGAGAGTAAGCGTCATCAAGTTTGGAGGTTCACAGACATGGATCTGAGCTGGGGTAGAGCATGGTGTGGTGTCTAAGAAACAGAGAAGGTAAAAGGGGGATATCTGGGTGGGATTTGGTGCAAACACAATAACTCAGCAGGGAAACCCAGCATGGCGGAGGACCTCGAGCGAGTCTAGGTGTCAGTGAAGGGAAATAACAGAAAAATAGCATCTATAGATGCTACATCCATATGCCACCAGTCTTCCGTGGGAGAGCTAAGGGGTTTGGACCATCCTGATATCAACACCCTGTGGTGTGATTAAAGTTCTGAGACACCATTTCCACAAATGTTTGCCGGTTTTAGAAAAGAGAAGGAAAAGGTTAAATACAGACAGACCAGCAAGGAGATTATTATGCCAGTCCAGGAAAGCAGCAATAAGGGAATCAAAGCAGTCGAAGGATAGAGTGAACGGTAGGGATGATAATCACAGATATGGTAGTGATTGGGGCGCAGGTGTGAGAGTTATGAAAATGGACAAGGGGAAAAAGTATAGAGAGAAGAGCAATAGCTGAGGACCAAACTTTGGAAATTCCAGAGAAACAGAGAAAGGGTGAAAAATAACGAAGGGAATGAGTTTGCAGCATCCCAGATGGACAAGGAAGAAAGCTTATCAAAGATGAGGTTGTGCGGTGTTGTAAATGGAGTGGCAGGCTGTGTTCCCACCACCTGGCTTCAGGCTAGCTTTATACCCAAAATAATTACACAGAAACTGTATTTATTTAAACATTGCCTGGCCCATTAGTTCTAGCCTCTTCTTGGCTAACTCTTACATATTGATTAACCCATTTCTAATAATCTGTATATCACCACATGACTGTGACTTACTAGGATGAGTCTAACCTACGTCAGTCTCGGAGAGGAGAGCCATGGCATCTACCTCACTGCCTTCTTCCTCCCAGAATTCTGTTTTGTCTACTCCACCTATCTAAGCTGCTGTCCTATCAAAAGGCCAAGGCAGTTTCTTTATTTAACCAATGAAAGCAACACATAGAAAGAAGACCCTCCTATATCAGTGCAGACTGGACAGATGGGTGTCAGTAACATGCTTACCACACAAACATAAAGATATGAATTTAGATCCCCAGCACCCGCATTTGCAGCTGGACACAGAGACGCACAGCTGCAATCCCAACACTGGGAAGATGAACGCAGATGATCTCCGAGACTCTCAGGACAGCTAGCCTAGTCAGTTAGTGAGTTCAAGGTTCAGTGACTTCATGTCAAACAGTGAAGTGGAGAACAGTTGAGGAAGACACCTAGTGTCAACCTCTAGTCCATACAGAGAGAGACAAGGACAGAGACAGAGAGAGAATGCATTGCGTGAAAACTGCCAAATACATCCACAAGATCATGAGTGCACAATCAGGACCATGGAGAGGGTGCTGGGTGAATCAAAAAGTCAGGACCCTCCTGGTGTCACACAGGTATGCCTACTGTGTACAACACCTGTGTTCATAGAGGGACATCCACACTGAACTTTAGTAAACTGAGTTCTCAAACATGCAGAGTGAAGATGTCCATTCCATAGAGTCTTTCCACCATATTGCCTTTGTATGCTTCATTACAAAGTGTGTGGGCTTTGGTCTCAATGATCACAGTTTTATACAGTATTTTGACCTTGAAAGATAATTGCACTTGAAACAGTTCAGAGATGCCGAGCTTGTTTGAACTCCATGACTCACAAAAGTTTGTGATTTAGGAACAATCATCCAAGAAGCATGTCATTGTAGACAGCCTGTGCATAAGGCACCACTTCTACTCTGTTAAGAAGAGCATTATTTGATACTCAGTCAAGGGGGATGCCTTATCAATGCAGAGGAAGGGCTTCTCACTGTCCTCACAGCAGGTGACTAAGTAGACCTCAAAGAGAGATACTCCCTGAGAGATCCAATCTGTTCAGCTACAGCTGCACCTCAAAGTCATCTGAAATCTCTTCCACCTCCTCACGTAAACCCCAAATGCCAAGACGGTCCAAAGAGAGAATGGAAATCTTGAACAAGAAGATGCCAGGGTCTTATGATCTTTTTTTCCATACTTCCCTCTTTTGCTAGTGGGGAAACTGAGCCTCAGCATAAAGAAATGATTATTTGTAATCTTATCACCGGCACCCTAATCCACTGATCCTCATTGCATTCCCAGGCCCATCAACACACTACAAATGGATAATTTCACAATCTCATCTGACATAACCTGGAACCGGAAATCAAATGCAGTAGGGGGAGGGGGCAACAAAAGCCATGGCTTACACATTTTCTGTATTTATGTACTATTGATGAATTAAAGGCGCAATGATAGAATCGAGCAATATCAGATTTTCTTGGTATCTCTTTAAGCTAAAATGTTCTTTCTAAGTTGGCAGTATAATTATATCCCAGAAATTTAGATGCAACAATATGCTATTGGCTATAAAACTTTATCTAGTTGGTTTGGAGTAACTTAGAATGGTAATTGGTTAAGCAATGAGACCTTACTCCACAGCAGTACACACAACCCCCTCCACCAAAAAGGTACACAGAGATAGCCATAACAAAATCTGTTTGTATATTACCTTAAAAATTATAGCTGGTAAGCCAATAAGATGGCTCAGTGAGTAAAGGCACAATAATTATTTGTCAACTGTGTTTTATAAATGTAATTTTATTAAGATTTGCTCTGCAGACCTTCTTAGAATTTTAGGAGTCTGTACACTGGGTTTTAGTTTGGATTTTTTCTTTTTACCAGATGACAAATCCACTTTTATAAAATTAAATGGATCTCTAAATAGTTTTGGTGATATCTAGAAATTGATGTTCATTTTGTAGGATGTTTGGTGAAAAGCTCCATGTATCCTTCTTTTTATTCATTTTTATTGAGTGCTACATTTTTCTCTACTTCCCTACCTGCCTCTCCCCTCCCCTTCAACCCTCCCCCAAGGTCCCCATGCTCCCAACTTACTCAGGAGATCTTGTCTTTTTCTACTTCCCATGTAGATTAGATCTATATATGTCTTTCTTAGCATCCTCATTGTTGTCTAAGTTCTCTATGATTATGATTTGTGGGATGATTTTCTTTGATTTATATCTAAAAACCACTTATGAGTGAGTACATGTGATACTTGTATCACATGTATCCTTTTTTTAAGATAAAGAATATACATTTTCTTGTTGACCATGTCCTTTGCTTTACAGAAGCTTTTCAGTTTCAGGAGGTCCCATTTATTATTTGTTACACTCAGTATCTGCGCTTGTGGGGTTATATTTAGGAAGTGGTCTCCTGTGCCAATGAGTTCAAGTTTACTTCCCACTTTCTATTCTATGAGGTTCAGTGTGGTTGACTTTATGTTTAGGTCTTTGATCCATTTGGATCTGAGTTTTGTGCATGGTGATAGACATGGATCTATTTTCATTCTTCTACATGTTGATATCCAGTTATTCCAGCACCATTTGCTTAATTTATATGCTTTCTCTTTTTTATTTTATATTTTTAGCTTCTTTGTCAAAAATCAGGAGTTCATAGGTGTGTGGATTAATATCTGGGTCTCGATTTGGCTCCATTGGTCCTCCTGTCTGTTCTTATGCCAATACCAGGCTGTTCTCAGTACTGTATCTCTGTAACAGAGTTTGAAGTCAGAGATTGTGGTGTCTCCAGAAGTTACAGAATGGGAAAAGATCTTTACCAACCCCATATCAGACAGAGTTCTGATCTCCAAAATATATAAGGAATTCAAGAAATTGGTCATCCAAAGAACAAATAATCCAATTTAAAAAATGGAGAACAGAACTAAACAGAGAACTCCGAACAGAGAAATCCAAAATAGCTGAAAGACACTTAAGAAAATGCTCAACATCCTTAGCCATCAGAGATTTGATTTAGCCATTAAATCAAAACAACTCTGAGATTCCATCTTATACCTGTAAGAATGGCCAAGATCAAAAACACTGATGACAACTTACGCTGGAGCGGATGTGGGATAAAGGGAACACTCCTCCATTGCTAGTGCGAATGCAAATTTGTATAGCCCCTTTAGACATCAATGTGGCAATTTCTCAGAAAATTAGGGAAAAACCTTCCTCAAGACCCAGCAATACAACTTTTGAGTATATAGCCAAAGGATGCTCAATCATACCACAAGGACATGTGCTCAACTATGTTCATAGCAGCACTGTTTGTCATAGTCAGAACCTAGAAACAACCTAAATTCCTCTCAACTGAAGAATTAATAAGAAAAATGTAGTACATTTACACAATGGAGTACTACACAGCAGAAAATAATAATGACATCTTGAAATTTGCAGGCAAATGGATGAATCTAGAAAACATCATATTGAATGAGGTAACCCATACTCTGAAAGACAAACGTCCTATATACTCACTCATAAGTGGCTTTTAGACATAAACCAAAGAAAAGCAGCCTACAATTCACAATCCTGAGAACCTAGACAACAATGAGGACCCTAAGAGAGGCATACATGGATCTAATCTACATGGGAAGTAGAAAAAGACAATATCTCCTGGGAAAATTGGTAGCATGGGGACCATGGGAGAGGGTTGAAGGGGAGGGAAGAGGAAGAGAGGGGAGCAGAGAAAAATGTATAGCCAAATAAAATTAATTTAAAAAAGAATATACATTTCCACATCACCATTCTTCTTTCTTATTTTTATGTATTTGGTCATTATTTTATGTACTAAAGTATTGTTAGCTTTAATGACTAAGCATTATTTGTAATAAAACCAAATATATCATGGCTATCTCTGTTAAAATTGCATTTATTGAAGTCAGTGAGATAGCACAGCAGGTAAAGGTTGAAGTTTGTTGCCAACCTACCCACCAAGTCCACATTCCTGACATCTACATAGTGGAAGGAGAGAATTAACTCCGTTAAGTTATCCTCTGACTTTCACATGTGTGCGCATGCACACACACACACACACACACACATATAATATATAAAAATGTATTAAGGCCAAATCTAATTTTAAATTAATAATAAAATGTTCTTATTTTCTAAAAGTCTAATACTAATTTTAAAGCCCAACTGACTTATTAAGCATCAGATTAGATTAGATAACGACGAAAAGAGAATAGGTGAACTAGAAATCATAGATGAGGAAATTGTCAGCATATCACACAGGCTTAAAAACAGAAAACATTAAAGAAGAAATGAAAGGCAAGCTATGAAGATCCAAGATCTACTTAAAGGAATCCAGGAATGATGAATGAAGAACTCAAGAATAGCCTTCCTCCTTCTGGACGACATTTGTTAAACTGTTCAAAATTGATAAAGAAAACCAATGTCTCTAGAGATTTATTTTCAAAAGCTTACAACAATGCTTAAATGCATGGATTCAAAATGCTCATAGAAATGTCATAAGAGCATCTGGAGGTTCTAGTATCTAAAGACAACCTGTACCCATTCTTCACAGCTCTGTCTCCATTAGCATCATGGGCCTGGCAGCTGAGTGGCAGTCCAGTCCATCTCAGCAGCCAGACTACATCAGCAATCCTATTTTTCACAACATGACCCTTTCACAACCCACCACCAATTTCCTATAGGTTGGAAGAACCCAGGTGGCCAGTGGATGGTCCAGTTCCTCTGTCTCTAACACCTCAAGGTGGTGGCTAAGATACCCCGCGTGGATTCGAAAACTAAGATGGTGTGAAGGTTAATCTTGTCATCGTGGTGGGATTTAATATCAGCACAGAAACAAATCTCTAGGCATGTCTGTGAAGAATTCTCTAGATTAAGTTAAATGTGGTGCGGAGGCCGACCTTAAATATGAGTGCTGCAATTGTGTGCATGGGGGCCCTAGGCTGACTAAAAAGGAGACAGCGAGTGCAACACAGCTGTGCACCACTCTCTGCCTCCATGAAGCTGTGAGCCAAAGCCATCCCTTCCTTAAATTACCTTTCTGAAGTACTGCGTCACAGCAAGTCACACAAGGAACAAGACCGAAGACCATGCTCCTGTAACTGTCCTGAAGTTTTAACACAAGGCTGAGCGAAGTCCCTGCTAGCTTTTTCATAGAAATTGACAAACTGACTAAAATACGTGTGGGAATGGAGTCAAATGGTCAAAACAGTCTTTGAAAAGAAGAACAAGGTACTGGAGGCGTTACATTTCCCGACTTTCAAACTTACTGCAAAGCTGTCTTCAACATGGGTACCAACACAACTGAGAGAGGAAAGAACAGTGATTTTGATGAGTGATGTCTAAGTAACTGGGCAGCCACATGAAAATAACCAAGCTTGGCCTTCGCTTACATCGTAAAGGAGCAGAGCGTCTGACATGGCTATGCAATTCCTACAATCCCGGGGCTCATGACGTAGAAGGGAGAGAATGGTGAATTCGCATCCTGACAAGGATATACAGAAGGATCCTGTCCCAGAGGCTAACTGTAAGAAATCAAGCTAAAAATTTTGAGGAAAAAATAGGCATAAATCTTTTATATCTTGGGTTAAGAAATAGTCTCTTGCTGGGTGGTGGCGCCACACGCCTTTAATCCCAACACTCAGGAGGCAGAGGCAAGCGGATCTCTATGAGTTAGAGGCCAGCCTGATCTTCAGAGTGAGTTCCAGAATAGCCAGAGCTACACAGTGAGACTCTGTCTCAGAAATAAATAAATAAACAACCTAGCAAACAGAAAGAAATAGCTTTTTATATAAAACACCAAAATCACAAGTGATACAAGTAAAATTAGGAGACTGGAAGGATGGCTCAGTGGTTAAGAGCACTTCCTGCTCTTCCAGAGGACCCAGGTTCAGTTCCCAACTCCTGCTGTGGGAGGCTCACAACCAATACCAGCTCTAGGTGATCTGACACCCTTCCTAGCCTCCACGAACACCTGCTTTCATGCACGCACACACTCATGCACACATACACAAGATTTAAAATAATTTAAATATTTAAAACAAAATTAGATTGGACTTCAAAATTTAAATCTCTTCTATAGAAAAACATATTTTATTTTCATCATGAAAATGAAAAATGAACTTCTGAAGGGGAAAAGCAACATTTATAAATCATCTGCTGGATAGGAACCTTGTGTCCAGAATGTTAAAAGCTCATCTACAACTTAAAAGACAAGTGAGCTGGGCTTTAAAACCCAGGCAATGGATCTGAGTAAACATTTCCCCAAAGATCTATAAACTTAGCCTACACACACATGAAAAGAAGTACGACTCCATGAGTCATCAAGGAAATGCAAATCAAAACCACAGGGAATGCTACTTCACGTGCACTGGGATGACCTGGGCTTTGGCTGTTGTTGTCTTACGAAAGGGGAAAACACAGGTGTTCCTGAGAATGTGCAGCCGGAACTCTTGTATTCCATCGGTGGGAACGACAGCTGGCCCAGAGACAAGGCCAGCAGTTACTAGGTTTGTGAAAGTATACAGTTAACACAATCCAGCAATTTCATTCCTGTGTATCGATACCTCAAATAACTGAAACTGTATGTCCAAGGAAGGTGTGCAGACTCACAAATGAAGCCCCAGGATGAATGCTAAGCCAGCTTAGACTGTGGAATAAGACTGTACCACAGTAACAAAAGGGGGATGAGGAGATGACTCACATGGTAGAGAGCTTGCTAAGTGAGAATCCATGTTCAGACCCCCGGTACCCACATAAAACAGCTGGAGGGTGAGTCGTGCCCATAATCCTAGCACTGGGAAGTCTAAACAGAAGGGTTCCAGAGTTCCACTGGCCAGTCTACCCAAGTGAGTGAGTTCTAGGCTCAACAAGAGACCTCATCTTCAAAACTAAAATGGAAAGCAAAAGAGAAAAACAGCCAGCATTGAACTCTGGTTTCCACAAGTGCACGTACAGGCATTTATACCTGTATGCACACATGTTCCACAAGGTAATACACATAGAAAGAAGGAAGAGAGGGAAGGAGGGAGGGAGGGAGGAGAGAGAAAAAAAACTCGTGTCCATAATCAAACTTGAACCCAAAGATTTAAGACAATGCTACTCTAATAACCCAAAATTGAACACAATTCCAAAACCCAATTCTCACAGTACATGCTATATTTTGGAGAATGGGTTGATCTAAAGACACTAGATTATACGAGAGCAGCCAGTCACAGAATATCACATATCCTATGATTCTACTCGTATTACCAGACTTAGGGTCACACACAGAGTCCCAAAAAGCCAGTTTTAACTACCCATCTTCAGTAAATCCAATTAAATCAGCTGTATTGCTAGGAGAGAGAGAGAGAGAGAGAGAGAGAGAGAGAGAGAGAGAGAGACAGAGACAGAGAGAGAGAGACAGAGAGAGAGAGAGAGAGAGAGAGAGAGATTCATTCAATGTGATCATATTGGGAAGAGGGACAAGGAGATCCAGTAATGAACCCCAAGAGCTTCTTCAGGGTCTGAAGTCCAATTTTAAGTAGAAAGCTGAGTTAAGCATATTGAGGCAGTGTAGATCAAAGTATAGTCCTGCCTATCATTGGTCCACCATTGTTTTGGCTCGACTCTCATGCAAGGCTCTCTGACAAGTTGCAAATCTCTTCCCAGGGAGAAAATTTTCCCCTCTGGTTTTAGGCTATCTCTTTTCCAGGCATGAGATTCATGGGGAAATTCAGTTTCTTAAGCCCATTGTGTTACAGAATTCCTTTTAGTAGTTTAGTAGATTCAAACTCCTGTCCTCATCTTGTAGTGACTTAGAAAAGAAAATAACACGGACTCTGGAAGTGTTAGCCTGTAATGGATGTGTTTATCACATTCACATGAGACCTTTTGCCCGTTTAATGCCAGCCTGCATGGATGCTGGCACTCGTTGTGTCTAAGGACTGATAGGACTGGACAGGGTTGAACCATAAAGTCCCCTTATGCTTTCAACTGGCTTCATAGAAACCACACAGAGAACAAATACTCTGAAAAGGATGGATACAAGTGAAACTCACATCTGTTTGCACGAGGAAAATTTATTAGGTTTGGGGGAACTGCAAGAAAAGACGGAAGAGGCAGAGAGACCCACAAAATACCTTGTGTGGTCCCTTCACAGCTCAGGTCTCTCAGACCACCAGAACACAAGTGGTTGGTCATAAAGAGGCCCTGGATGAAGATGGCCCAGTAGGCCTGGACTCAGGACCAAACCACAGCACCAGGCCCATGCTCTCCTTCCAGACTATGATTTGTGCAGTGCTGGCTGTGAGGTCAGAAAGGCTGGTCTTTCTGTCTTCATGCCTTCATGCAATCCTCCTGCTGGCCTTGGGGTGTTTAGCAGCCAAATGTATTGCAGGGGCCACATCGGGAGCGTGTAACACAAGGGTTTGTGACACAGGGTCCAATGGGCTTCTCACAGGCATTGGTGGTGGCGCAGGGGTTGCAGGGCAGCCTGGGACACAAGATCATTAGAGTCAGCATGAGAAAGGAAATTTTCAAAAAGCGGGGTCGGCTAAAAACAAGAAGCCCATTCTCCTCTTTAGACCACAAGTCTTGTTCAGATCACTCCTCTACAGAGTTCAGGGACAGTGGTAGCAGGGAGAGGAAAACACTGGCGTTGGAATCAGGCCTTCTGTTTAACCCTGGGGATACAGGGACGCCACTTCAACCTCTCAGCCTCTGCCTCAAACTTAGAGCATGGCCTTGGTGATGTCCACCTCACAGATAGAAACCTGCCTGAGCTGCCACTTGGCCTGCTCTACTTATTAAGTCATCTTCCTTGGAGATGCTCAAATGCAAGAAGATGGTTACAGTGAATAGAATCCCTTCCCCTGAATGCTTCTAACAAGGATTCAAAGCAATAGTAGACCTACAGTTTTGGTTTAATCAAAGCAATGACTGCTGGAGTTTCCTATTTCCTTTCCATGTCAGAAACCATTTGTGAAAATAAAAGGAATTTTACCCATCAGTCAAAGAATCTCCAGCCTCGTGACTATTTTTTAGGACGTAAAGTATCTTTAGTCCAGGTCGTACTGGCAACAAGCCCCTTATACCAGTCTCTAGGGATGCCCTGGTTTCTGACCCACATCCTCCAAGTCACACTATGACTCCTAAGGTACTTTATGTGTGGCTCACAGTGGTGGATACACCCTCCAGCAACTCACTTGCAGTCCTCGCTCTCCAGCAGGCCCCTGTACGTGTTGATCTCACACTCCAGCCGGGCCCGGATGTCCAGCAGCACCTGGTACTCTTGGTTCTGACGCTCCAGGTCAGCCCGGATCTCACCAAGCTGGGACTCCACGTTGGTGATCATGCACTGCACCTGGGACAGCTGGGAGCTGTAGCGAGCCTCACTCTCTGTCAGTGTGTTTTCCAGAGAGTTTCTCTGTGGGAGGAGAAGACAGAGGCTGTCACACAGCTGTCCCCTCTTAAGGTCCCTGCATGACCCTGCAAAGGAGTCACAGCCTTCAAGAGCTAGGAAGAGGGCATTGCCCCAAGGGCATCGCAGTGACTCTGCCTCCCAACTCCACACTGCTCAGCAGCAGGTCTGGACACTACACACCAGGTTGTGCTGGGCCTGCAGCTCGATCTCCAGGGCGTTGACTGTGCGTCTCAGCTCGATGATCTCTGCCTGGCAGGACTGCAGCTGCTCTGAGCTGGACACCACCTGCTTGTTCAGCTCCTCAGTCTGCAAGAGGCAAAGGCAGAGACAGGCTCAGACCCTGCCTTAGAGTCCTGGGGGACTCAGTTCCTGGGTGGCCATGAGCTCAGATGCCCACCTGTGTGGTGAACCATTCCTCCACTTCTCTGCGGTTGGTTTCCACCAGGGCCTCGTACTGACACCTGGTCTCATTGAGCACGCGGTTCAGGTCCACAGTGGGAGCAGCGTCCACCTCCACGTTGAGGCGGTCTCCAAGCTGGCAGCGCAGGGTGTTGACTTCCTGGTGGGAGAAAGGGAAAGGATGGACCACAGAGCTAAGGAGGCCTCTGTACTTTAAGAAGCATCCTGGGAGTGCACCTTTAATGCAAAAGACTTTAAAAATATGGAAGCCTGTCAGAAACAAGTTTATCATGAATGCTCTTTAGAGGAAAAGAAGTTTAGCGTAAATATTATGAGAGTATCAAGAACTGTGGTGGAGGAAGGATTGCATCGAAGTTAAAAAACCTGAGTCCAGTGGATGGAAATCCACCCCTGGTGACTTGATCTGAGTCCCTTCCCTCATCTCTGTATGAAGATTCTTTGAATAAGTTATTGCTAATATTTTTTGGAACTCTAAGATTCTGCCATTTCCTTCTGGTTTTGTATTTGTTGTGTGACAAGTGATTTGGAATTGTTGCTACTTAAATGTAGAGAAACTGTTAATTGTTGTCCATTCTGCGTCCTCTAAGGTCATATCCTGTTTGTTAGAACTGTTTCCCCCTTGGGAAAGGATCTGATGCAGCTGATTCCTCAAATTTCATTCAACCATGTAAGTTTCTTCTTTTCTCCCATCTTCTCATCCACCCCTCCGCACACGCACCCGTCTACTCGTTTGGTATCCATTTGCCTGGACTTCATAAAGGACAAAAGCCTTACTTGTCTCTTTCTAAACTTCATCATTGATTTGATAGCTACTCAGAAGCAAACAGAATTCATGTGAGTCTTGGGCCATGCATCTGATCCCATGTGAACACAGATCAACCAACCACACTTCCTCCTGTCAAAGAGATCAACCTGGGCCCCATTGCCCAATAATCTCCCAAAACTACCTTTTATTCAACTAGCAAAAACCATTGCATTAATCTCGTAACCCAAGTCCTACCTTCCCCTGCTGAGAGGGATCTTCAGTACTGAGATGTTAGTGACCGGGACTTCCTTACCTCCTCATGGTTCTGCTTGAGACACAGCAGCTCCTGCTTCAGAGACTCCACCTGAGCCTCCAGGTCAGACGTGCAGAGCGTCAGCTCATCCAGGATCCTGCGCAGGCCATTGATGTCTGACTCCACCAGCTGCCTCAGGGACAGCTCAGTCTGGTACCTGCACACATAGTCAAAAGTCAGAAGACATCCATGAGGAAGAGCTTACATTTGGATAACCCAGTCAAACCCACCTAACTTTGAGTTTGTTCCATTTTAAATGTTCTGAAAAAAAAAAAAGCATCACTGTGGTGAGGTTACCTGTCTCCCTCCAGGACCCACAGAGAAGGCTCTGTGTGTGGTTTCCTCCATTGTTCCCTGCATTGGTTCTAAGAATCCATTCACGAGTTGCTATCAAGGAAGTCTACCGTCCCTATCCTCTTGGGTTGTTACACTTCCCAATTCTGCTATAACCTGTCTTCCTTCCTTTCCAACTACCCTGAGGATCCTGAAATTCAAAGTCACTTAGATCCAGCTTTGTCATTAGATGGCTGGAGGTGGATTCTTTAATCTCTCTGAGCCTTGATTGTAAAATGAAAACAAAACTAACACTTTATTGTTTTGGGCTGAATATGAAAAATGATACTTGTGAGATACTGTTACAACTCTTATAGGTCTTTTATGGGACCTATATAAGGTTGCATAGAAGATTCAAAAAGATTATGATTACAATCTTCCTGAAAACACTGATTAATTCACTGAAAGAAATGGCTTTTGCCTCTTTTTATGACATTCTAACTCCTTTGGGATGTAATGATAATTACACTTCTTCCAGAAAGACTTAAAGCATAGACCCTCAGCTCTCAGTGAAGAGACCTTGGCTTTTGATCTAACTCTAACCCAAGTCACAATTGCACTTAGAAGCTGTGTCTGGCACAACCCTGGAACAAGGAGTCCTTGCTTTGAACCTCAGTCTCTCCCTAGGCTGCTCTGGTCATTACAAATGTCTTACTTGGTCCTGAAGTCGTCAGCTGCCAGCTTGGCATTGTCAATCTTCACCACCAGCCTGGCGTTCTCAGACTTGCCGCACAGAATCTGCAGAGGATCGATTGTGGCATGAGTTATGTTATTATTCTCACCCAGTTGCTCCGTGTCCTTTCAGACCATCGCATCAGGTACACAAGCATGTGATTCATTCAGTGAACCGTCGCGTGAAAACCTAAGGTATGTAGCCTGGATATCAGAGAGCAAGAGTACAATTTGAATGTCATTGCTCCTTCACCCACAGCTGGTGGGTACAGTCAGGACTTCTGGGGCTTCTTCTAGTGTTCCTGTACTGGGTAGAACTGAGTGTACTGGGTAGTCAACCCTCAGGTCAGGTGACCAGGGATCCCTGTATGTTAGGATGAAAGCATTCTTGGACACTAAAATGAGGCACGTGCAGATAATCAGGGCAAGGCATTTACCCAGTCACACCACCTCCATTGGAAAACCCTGTTGACCCTGTCCCCTCGCTGGCACCGTGCACTTGCTTTAGTTGAAATGCCTTCCCCCACCTAGAGAGCACCGTGTAGAGGCCACATCCCCTCTTTTTCCAGTTCCTCCAAGTGGCCACTTCTTCCACGTACACTATCTGTTCTCCATAGCTCTTCTCACAACCTTGGCTGTGGTCACTCTCCCCCACACCTCTCTACCCTATGAAGCTGTGATCTCCTGCTGGAATGAAATTTTCTTTCTCAGCATTTTACCCCTGACCCCTACCCTAGCACTCTGCCTAATGCTCACCATCTATGAGTGAATAAATAATGATACTCAAATCGTACTAATCCTTTCTAGCGTTCACTGTGTCAGGAGACAGCAGACAGACAATTCCCTCCACAAACCAATGGCCTGCACAGTCAGACATGCAATCCTATTTGTTTGGGACTAAAAGAGAGATTAAATGGTAAAGTGCTTGCTTTTCAAAACAAGAACCTGAGTTCAATCACCAGAACTCAAGTTTAAAAAAAAATAATGGCGTAGTAACCCTCACTGACATGCCCAGCACTAAGGAGACAGAGACAGAGTCCTGTGGCTTGCTGACCCACCTACTTGACAAGTTCCAGGCCAGTAGATGACCTTGTTTCAGGAAAAAAAAAAACAGAGGTGAATGGCACTTAGGAATGGTACCAGGTTATCCTTTGCCCTACACACACACACACACACACACACACACACACACACACACACACACACGAGGACTCATACACATATCAATAGGCACCCGCAAATATATATGCACTACACATAGACACACACACAAAAAAAAATCCTGCTTGTCATTTAAATACCACTTTGATACTGGTTCTTTTGAGGATCCTTCCAATTTCCACTTTTTGTGGCCTCTACTCCTGTCTTCATAGCCCTGTATTGCCATTTGTCTACATAGCTGTTCTAGTGAATGGTGTGTGTGTGTGTGTGTGTGTGTGTGTGTGTGTGTGTGTGTGTGTGTGTGTATGAGGCTTCTGGAGCTGGTGGTTTTCCTGGTTTACCAAAGCTGTCTTTTAAAGTATTTGCAAAGAACTAATTCAGGTGCACTGTATTGTCTTAAAATGTTATAATCTGTCTGAAAGCAAGAAAGGGGCATCATAAAAACCCTTTTAAAATAAGCTATTCAGCTGTCTCTGTAGATTTCTCCATCATGATCTTGGCCTTTGCTAATATATTCCCTCCTCCTTCCCTTTGACTATGGATTCCCGCAGAGCCCGGCCTGGTGCTTGGTTGTGGATCTCTGCATCTGGCCCATCAGTTACTGGATGAAGGCTCTATGATGACAGTTGGGCTATTAACCACTCTGAAGGCCAGTTCAGGCACTCCCTCCACTATTGCTAGGAGTCTTAGCTGGGGTCATCCTTGTGGATTCTTGGGAATTTCCCTAGCAGTAGGTTTCTCCCTAATCCCATAGTGGCTCTCTCTGCCAAGATATCTCCTTCATTGCCCTCCTACTCCATTCCTCTACCCCTTGACCATCGCATTCCCTCATTCCCTCCCTTTTACTGCCCTCCTTGTTCCCCGTTTACTCAGGAGATCTCATCTAATTCTCCCTTCCCAGGGTGATCCATGTGTCCCTCTTAGGGTCTTCCTTGTTACCTAGCTTCTCCGGAGCTGCAGACTGTACTCTGGCTCTCCTTTGCTTTACATCCAGTAAACCACTTATAAGTGGTTATGAGTGAGCACATACTGTGTCTGTCTTTCTGAGTCTGGGTTACCTCACTCAGGATGGTGTTTTTCTAGTTCCATCCATTTGCCTGCAAACAGAGACAGCTGAACCAAGCTCATGGAAACTCATGAACTCTAGACCAACAGCCATGAAGCCTCAATGGGACCAAATTAGGCCCTCCATATGTGAGAGACAATGGTGAAGCTTGGACTCTCTGAGGGGTCTCTTGCAATAGGACCAGGATCTATCCCTGGTGCATGAGCTAGCTTGGTGGAACCCATTCCCTTTGGTGGGGTGCCATGCTCAGCATTAATGTAGAGGAGGGACTTTGTCCTGCCCCAACTCAATGTGCCAGGCTTTGTTGACTTCCCATGGGAGCCCTTACTTGTTGGGAGGACTGAAAAGGTGATGAACTGGGGGAAGAGACAAGGGAGTGGGAGGGAGAACTGTGGTTGGGATTAAAATGAAATTTTTAAAAATTAGTTAAAAAAATAAAAATAAACTAGTTTTTCTAGTTTGGGGTAAGAAGTAATGTTTTTTTTAAAAAAAAAAAAAAACCTCAGGCTAATTTAGCACTAATACTGAATTTGCATAGTTCCATTATGGTGATTCCAAAAGGAGTTTTCAAAGACATATCTTTTTAGGCCAATGAATTCTACATCACTTCTAACTGTAAGCAGCCTTATCTCTGTTCTGACTTCATTATGTTCAATTGGAATAAATAATTCATTCAACTGACATTATAACGCTCATTCCCTCACCTTCTGCTGCAGCTCTTCAATGGTCCTGAAGTAGGACTGGTAGGCGGGGCACACCAGAGGGTCCTGCTGCTGGTTCCTCTCCTGGATCCGACATTCCAGCTCTGCGTTCTCTCTCTCCAGCTGCCGCACCTTCTCCATGTAGCTGGCCAGGCGGTCATTCAGGAACTGCATGGTTTCCTTCTCATTGCCATTGAAGGAGCCCTCACAGAACCAATTACAGTTGCCGATATTGGCAGGGATGTTGCAGGCCCCGGGCAGGGTGCAGCTGTGGCAGCTGTTGGGTATACAGGGCCGGGAGGAGCAGCTGGTGCGGCAGCTCATGGTGGGCAGGCAGCAGTTGTACGGCATGGTGCTGGAGGGAGCAGAGCGAGGAGAGTTGGCTTCTACACCTGATGTTCTGTCTCTGGTATAAGGCCTGGTCCTCTCCAGAGCTTTATATCCTGTCAGTGGTGGGTGTGGTAAGCATGTAAAACATTTATTTCCCTTTTGCTCTCATTACCAATTTTCCATTTGTTATTTTGCCACCTTGCATGAGTCCTTTAGCTCATAAAATATTTTACTTTGGCTTCCTGCTATGTCAGGACTCCTCACCAATCACGCTGGTTAGTTCAGAAGAGCTTCATGGTTTGGCTTCAAAGCAACCAACTTTGCCAACAGCAGCACTTACTTACTGGGCATTAAGTTACAGTAGCTTCTGACCCTCAGATTTGGGGGCACTTCTGATCTCCTTCTCCTGAGCTTAGGAAAGGGCTGTGTCTTATTCAGCTCAGTGCAGTGTCTGTGGGGAAGACCATCTGAGCATCTTTTTTGGAAACCAAACTGGTTAGTAGAGAATCCCAAAAGGAAACATCAGAAAATACAACCCGGCTCAGGGCTGCCATACCATTCAAGTGGGTGGGGACAACACTGTCCTCTTCCTAGGGAGTTACAGAAGTCTCTTGGGGTCCATTTGGGCTGTTGTGTCCTCATAGAAATGCTTAGAAAACTAACATTTGGGGGCAGCTATTGAGCATGAAGTATTGAAGTATTTGTACACAATGTGGCTGTAATTGACTCCTGCTTGCTTGAGTGCCTACTTGGTACCAGACACTGAGTGAGTTAGGTAGCTCCTATGCATTAACTCCTTCAAGAACCACAAAGCCTTATAAGAGTTTGTAAGGTGGCCTCAGACTTTTCCCAAGATCCTAGAGTCCCACTGTGATTGAACCAAGATCAAACGCAAATTTCCCTAATTCCAGTGACCATGTTCTCACAACAGCATGGAACTCTCTCATTTCCAATAACTTTGCGATAAGATGGAATAATGTGTGATAGACAGAATTCAGTCAAACTCAGCCACTGCCTGGCAGTGCTTCTCCCCAGCCCTACTACCCATCAGTATGAACCGAGAACTAAGTCTATTCTTCCTTTAAGAGCCCAAGTCATTTCTATTCTAATGAAAGTCTACTTAACAAGACCACATCGTTCCCACTAGAAGTTGGCGAGAAGCCAACCCCTAGTCAACCTAGTGCAGAAACACCTGAGCCTAGTGATCCCTCAATGCCTGCACCTGTCACGTGCTAAGGTGACATCTCAAGACCACCAGCACAGTCTGGCAAACACATCTTCTGCTTTTGTGCCTTACTAGATGGAGTTTTGAGCAGTTGGGATTGTATGTCTAATCTATCCGTGTCCCAAATACAAAAGGCATTCTTGAAGTTATTCTTCTTGGAAATGCTGAGCTAATTCCTATCACACAGTTAAGGCTCAGATTCTCCTTCTTTCAAAGGTATGCTGGGACCCTACTCTTTTCGTTATTCTCATGGAAGACATATTTTAAGACTGCATCTAATTTTGGAGCCAGCCAAATGTTATTTGAAACTAAACCTGTTAAGTGAAGTAGACATCCATGCTGAGCCATTTCTTTAATGGGTCAGAAACAAGTTGTGACTATAAAACAATAATGTGTATTTTCTTGGATGATTCTGAAAGTCATTTCCAAGGAAGAGCTAGCTTCAAGCGTGGTTCTCGACAGAAAGCAAGTTGTAAGCAAATGGATGTTCTTTTAAGGCTATTCCTTCCTCATGTTCATAGCCTCTGCCCTCCCACATAACCCTACTTGTAAATGGTTCTACCGTGACATGTGGATCAGGTGTGCTGATTTATAATCAGTACCAAGTTGATCAAAGCCCAATTGGATGAGCTCACACAACCCAGAAAATAGGTGAAACTATTAATTTTTAAAGAATCTTCCATTCTTCTCTTCTTCTATATTAACAACATCAAAAGACAAAGATCCCAGACAATGCTGTTTTCTAAAAAGAAAGGATAGTGTGTTGTAGACTAGAAAATATGTCCATGAAGTGTGTATAACTATTTCTATAGCTTCTGCCTCAGTCAGAGTGGAATAATGCATGGAAAAGATTATTATATTCAAAAACACATGGTAGAGTTAGAAAAAGACACACATTCTGGGTGGAGGTAGCTGCATTTGCTGAACAGTGATGTGGCTATTATATAATGAATGGCTGAAAGGGCGTGGATCTGTTAAGAAAAGAAACTAATTTCAGTTTGTTTCCTAGGAATTCTTAGAAGTAAGCATTTCTCATTGGTTCCATTTATTATACACTGTGTGTTCTCAACTTTACATAAATGATGATATTGTCCCTGGCCAATGACCCTTCAATAAACATGATGGGAAGATGAAATCCTCACAACCAGAAAGGTTTTATAGCTACCTGTATCATTGTGTCAGACGCTGTGGCTGAGGCTTCTGGTTTCAAGATGTGAGCCAACGGCATCTGAGGTTTAAGGACACTATTCATTATAGAAGCCAAGGTTATTTCCATGCCAGAGATCACACACAAACTCAGCAGTAGTATTTAACCGTGGAGTGAAGTCAGGGCAAGTCTTTTGCTGGAGCCACCTTTCCTGTCTTTAAAGTCATGAGGAAACCTCCCTTCTCTTTCCCAATGTCATGTCCATGATGGTGAGAATTTGCTGTTTGAAATTCTCATCCAGACATAGCATATGAAAGATGTGTTCTTTCAGAAATGCAAATCATACATTGGGTTCCTCACAAATTTATTTATTAGATGTATACAAATGGCAGTGAGAAATCGTGAACGGCAACACTAGGCAAGCAAGAGGATTTCTCATAGCAAAAAGCAGTCCAGTTTAAGAACAAGAAGGTCCAAGTTCACCCATGCTATGTTTTAAACTCTAGAAGAAGGTGCAACAATCCGAAACAACATAACTTAATGGTTTTACTTACTTATTGTTATCATGTGTGTGTCCATGAGTGTAGGCACACACACGTGTGTGGAGGTCAGACAACAACTTTCAGTCGCTATTTTCCTCCTTCTACCTCTGTGTGGATATCAACTCATCAGCCTTGCATGGTAATCACTTCACTAGCTGACCCATCTCATCAGCCCTAACAACGGTTTTATTCTACCTGGGATGGCTAGATTAAGGAACCCTGAGGAGAAGAGGTTAAAATCTGCTGTGTAGAGTGTTCTACAAGTCGAGAGAAACAGCAAACGCAGATAAAGCAGCTTGGGGCTTAGTGTGACTGCGTGGAAAACTTTGCATTACACTCAGTGTGGAGTGATAATTTAAGGTGAGCGTGAAGGAGCTATGAGGCTATAGCTTCTTTCCCCAGCATCCTACAGACCATGCCCCTTCGCAGTCTCCAGTGAACTCCCTCTTTGTATGTCCAATATGATTCTCCTCTCATTTGATCTGTGTTCTGTTGGCCATGCCCTCAGTGGAGTTCTTGGCTTATTTTGATTCTACGTCACCTAAGCTGCTCCTCCAATTTCCTTATCCAGAGGTCCTCATAAACCTGAAAAAAAAAACAAGCTGTGAACATCATGTTGGGAATTTTGAAGCACACTATGTCAACTCTGTCACTTCCATCAGTAGTCCCAGGGCTCTTTTGTAGTCTACCACCTTCCCTTCTGATTGGTTTAATAAAGAGTTGAATGGCCAACTACATAGGCAGGAAGAGGTTATGCAGGACTTCTGGAGACAGGGAGGGCTCTGGGAAGAAGAAGAAAAGGAGAAGCCAGAAGACAGGGAGAGGAAACAAGAGGCGCAAGATGGAAGAGAGTTATAAATGTGTTAATTTAAGTTATAAGAGCTAATTAGGAGCAAGTCCTAAGCTATATGCCAGGTTTTCATAATTAATAAGAAGTCTCCACGTCATTATTTGGGAGTTGGCTGGCAGGACAGAGAAAGACTCCTTATATTTTGACTCCTACAGCTCTAGCTACCACCCTTATTTAAATAACTCTCTAACAAATCCAGCCATTTGTGGAGATGGAGGAGGAGTGGATGGGGAGGGGGTTAATGGGAAATAGGAAGAAAAGGGAGGGAGGGAGGGAGAAAGGAAGGGAGGGAGAGGAGAAGGAAGGGAAAACTGTTTAGTTTGTAAGATAAATGGGGAAATGTTATTTAAATTTAAAAAGAAAAGAACTATTCAGACATACTTTTTAAGATCGCTGTACCACCATTGTTTCCTTTCAGGAGACTCAAAAGCTTTAGACCCAGGGTCTGGGGAGTTGACTCAGTGGTTATGAGCACTTGCTGGTCTTGAAGAGGACCTGAAATTTTTTCCCAGAATGCACATGACAACTCACAATCATCTGTAATTGCAGTTCCAAGGGATTCAGTGCCTTTTTCTGATCACCATGGATACCAGGTGCCTATTTATTGCATATATATACATGTAGGCTAAAAATTCAGACATGTTAAAATAATAATTAGTTTTTAAAAGAGAAAATCTTTATACCCATAGTAGGTGTTTTTGATGATTAATTTTAGGTGTTTATTCAACTTTGGTAAGGGATGCCAGATAGCTGATTAAGTCTACTTCTGAATGGATTTATGAAGTGTTTCTGGAAAGCATTATACTGAAGATCATTTTTATCAGTGTGGATGAGCATCATCTAAATCATTGAAGGCTCAAAGAATGAAAATAGGCATGCAAGGATGTTGGGTTAACTCTTCCTTCTTGACCTAGGATGCCAGTCCAATCCTGGTCTCAGACATTTATGCCTTCAAACCTTGACTAGGACCCATTCTGTTGACTCTCTTGGTTTTTCAGGTCTTTGGGCTAAGAATGGAGCTACACAGTGGCATTTCGTGGGCTATCAACTTCAAGATCACACAATTTCTCAATCTCCTTAATGACATGAGTCAACACTGCATAACAATTTTATATACATCTATGTCTTAAATAGAACATAGATATATGCATAAGTAGATAGACAGAGATAGATAGGTGGATGATAGATCGATGACAGATAGATAGATAGATAGATAGTTGGATAGATATGTAGATGATAGACAGACAGACAGATAGATATCCTAGTGATTCAGCTCCTATAGAGATCCTATTGGTTGATT